AGGTCATCTAGTCCAGCCACCTGCTCAAGCGGGAGACCCTTACAGAATCACAGAATGACAGTGTTGGGAGGGAACCTGGAGGTCATCTAGTCCAACCCCCCTACTAAAGCAGGAGACCTTTACAGAATCATAGAATAACAAGAGTTGGAAGGTACCTTAGAGGTCATCTAGTCCAACCCCCTGCTCAAGCAGGAGACCCCTACAGAATCATAAATGACAGAGCTGGAAGGGACCTCGGAGGTCATCCAGTCCAGCCCCCTGCTCAGGCAGGACAAAGGATTATTCAAACCTCTGCTTCAAAACCTCCAGTGTGGGCGCATTCACGACTTCTGGAGGAGGACGGACACGCAGGTGCATTGTGTAAAAAAAAAAAAAAAAAGAGCATTGTGTCCCTTTTTTTCCCCCTCCAGGAGCACTTTGAGTTCAAGAAGCCAACCAGACCCGCCTCTCGTAGCTCCCTGCACCTTTCCTCACTCGACGACGAAAAGGAGGCTTCGGAAGCGAGGCGGGACTCGAACCCAGTACTGACGGTATTTATCGAGAGAATGTCCGGCCTGGCTGGAAACAGAAAGACGGACGCTTAGGCCAGTAGTGTCTGTGCATGCTTGTCTCTGTGTCTGTGTGCGTGTGTGTGTGTGTGTGTGGTGGAGAAATGTTAACTACAGGTAATCCTTGACTTACCACCGTTCGTTTAGTGACCATTCGGGACTGAATAGAAGGGACTTTGGGCTGTGTTTCACCCTTAACGACCGGGGCGGCATGCGATCCCAATTCAGACTCTGGGCAACTGACACACATCGATGACGGTTTGCAGCGTTCCCGCCCCCCCCCCCCGGGTCCCGCGATCGGAATTCACACACTTGGCGACCGACTCGTATTTATGACGGTCGCAGCGTCCCTAGGATAATAGGATAGAATAAGAATAGAATAAGAATATAGCGAATAGAATAGAAAATAGAATAGAATAGAATAGGAGGAATGAAGATAGAATAGAATAGAATAATGAAAAATAGAATAGAATAGTAGATAGAGAATAGAATAGAAGATATAGAATAGAATAGGAATAGAAGATAGAGAACGTAAAAGCAACACACGCTACGATTTTACGATTCCATTTCAATGTTTCCGATTTACGATCCATTTACGATTTCCAAATTTCCAATTCTTTCTTTTCCATTTAACCAGACTCAGCCACAGCAACACGTGGCTGGGTACAGCTAGTGAAAAATAGAATAGGATAGAATAGAATAGAATAGAATAGAATAGAATAGTAGATAGAGAATAGAATAGAAGATATAGAATAAGAATAAGAATAGAATAGAAGATAGAGAATGGAATAGAGAATAGAATAGAGAACAGAATAGAAGGAATGAAGATAGAATAGAATAGAATGGAATAATGAAGAATAGAATAGAATAGTAGATAGAGAATAGAATAGAAGATATAGAATAAGAAAAGAATAGAAGATAGAGAATAGAATAGAGAATAGAATAGAATAGAGAATAGGAAAGAAAGAATAGAATAGAGTAGAATAAAGATAATAGAACAGAATAGTAGAGAATAGAATAGAAGATATAGAATAGAATAAGAACAGAATAGAAGATAGAGAATAGAATAGAGAATAGAATAGAGAATAGAAGAGAAAGAATAGAATAGAATAAAGAGAATAGAATAGAGTAGAATAAAGATAATAGAATAGAATAGTAGAGAATAGAATAGAAGATATAGAATAGAATAAGAACAGAATAGAAGATAGAGAATAGAAGAGAGAATAGAAGAGAGAATAGAATAGAATAAAGAGAATAGAATAGGAGGAATGAAGATAGAATAGAATAGAATAATATAGAATAGAATAGTAGAGAATAGAATAGAATAGTAGAGAATAGAATAGAATAAGAACAGAATAGAAGATAGAGAATGGAATAGAGAATAGAAGAGAAAGAATAGAATAGAATAGAATAAAGAGAATAGAATAGGAG